ATAATACTAATATTTAAATCCAAGCAGCAACTATGATAATCTGGTTTATTTCTGATATTTTTGTTCTGGCTAGTTTAAGTTCTGTATGGCCAGTAACTTAATTTAGTGGCCAAATTGGTTGGTGAGTGAAAAAGTTCATTTAATCTTAAAAAGAACTGTAACAGGCATTTAATTATTGGGTCATAGTTTTCATGGAAAATTATCAGAATGAAATACAAAAATTAAAATATGTTCTTACAATCGACATATTTTGTTCATTTTCGTTACTTAAAACATTTTTATCTGATTGAGATGAATGGGACATGCTTTCTCCAGATATATTAGACCTTGCCAAAAATAAAAATGCTGTCATCATTTACTCACCATTATGTTGTTTGAAACCTGTATGAGTTTCTTTGTTCTGTTGAACACAAAAGAAGATATTTTGAAGAATGTTGTTAACAAAATGCTTTCTTTCCATACTATGAAAGTCAATGGGGTTTGGTTATCAACATTATTCAAAATATCTTTTTGCATTTAACAGAACAAAGAAACTCATACAGGTATAAAACAACATGGTGTGTAAATGATGACAGAATTCTCATTTAGTCATTTATGCCTTAAGTGAATATAAATGGGTGAGACAAAAAAAAAGACATGAAATGTATTGCATGTGGGGCATTAGGCTTGCGGTGTAAACGCATCCTAATAGACCAGTACTTTACGCAACAAAAGGAGTCGATAGTGCAAACTGTGGACAGTTCATGAATAATGCAAAGGCAATTACTTTCAAACAAAGAGATGGACACCATTAGTCCTTCCATTAATTAAAGGATTTTAGATCGGGTTTCAGCATATTCAGGCTTATGAGCGCAAAATGTTTAACATCTGCAGACTTACGATTCAAAAATATTAAAAAGCCTTCCTATTTCATTGTGTAAATAGGTCTAAGTAAAGGAGCAGATGTCATGATGGCTGAAGGCGCTTTTAAATGTAAACTCTAAATCGCTTCAGGAGGAGGATGGGGCTGGGTGTTACCCACCGGCCCAGTGCGCTTACACACACTACTGTTTGACCTTTGACCAGGAGGATTTCTTCACCGTAAAGCACACACACGCACAGAAACAGGAATGTAAAGAGCAACTAATGGCCAGGTCGGTTCACTCTAACCAAACCAACCAGACAGAGATGTAGACGATGATTAAGAATCCCACTGGTCTCCCAGGTGGCTTCTGGGAACTGATGTCATGGCATTCCATAGACCGCCTCAGAACAAGAGCTTCCGGTTCCCCCCCACTGAGGTTTAACTCCACTCTCTATCGAAATCATTACTATACACACACTATATTCCTCTTCCATAAACACAGCACATATGCATCTATGAAGCCAACAACATGCCACATAAATCAATAGCTTCTATCTCAATTTTGCAATTAAATTCATCCTAAGAGAAATTATTGCTGGAAAATATGGCCTTCATGCTCAGTAGGCTACGGATACGACACTGAATTATGTCATGTTATTAGTCATGAGTTAGGCACTAAATCACAGTTAATTTGATCATAATGTCAGAGGAACATGAATAAGCTATGCTGTTTACGGCTCAGCGAAACCAGAGCCCTGCTGTGTGGACGCTGATGGACGGTGTGTTTGTGGCTGGTCCAGTGCAGTGCATTGTGGACTATATGTGAGGAAAGCAGGATGAGTGCTCAACACACAGCTGATGCCACCTGCATACAGACACTAACATACTATAAAAACTCCCAGCACATGGAGAAAATACACATACGTGATGAATTTATGTAGGCTTCTTTTGCAGACAAAATAAAGTTGAAAAATAATCTATGACGTACGGAATATATTCAATGAGAAATATGGCATATTGACATGGCACATTAATACTTTTGTTAATGTTGAAAGAAAATATGGATTGTAGAATTAAACTACACTGTAAAAACATTATTGTTCAGAAGTAGTAAGTATAACAGACCGTTTTTATTTTATTATAACATGAGTTTTCAGTCAGTGACAGTGAGCTTGCGCTGCGGATGAACTGAAGTGATATCAGCCTAATTGATTATAAACAATATAAAGGGAGTGCTCTTTGACAGCTTTCTGTATAATCCATTCATATTTTGAATAAAGTTTTATTTTTCATACTGCTAAGTAGTATACAGCAAAATTTCAGAAGGGACAACATTATTCAAATGTGCAGTGTAAGTGCAACAGACCCGTGACCTGTTCTGTTACCCTTAATGCGTTTCTTTGTTTTTTCATTGTATTATTTTACTAACTTTTCATTAGATATTTTTAATGCCATGTTTAATTAACTGAACAATATTGGAAAGCTACATAATGTGTTAATGGATTATTTACTTATAATCATTAACAGCATTAAAAATTAACTAATTTAATTTACTTATTTTTAATTTTCAAGTAGTTACATAAAAAATATATATAAAAAAATAGCTACAATTTGGTACAGAAAATTGTTAAATTTGACTAGTGTTGGTACCGACAAATGAAATTTTGGTACCATGTCAACTTTACAACGATTATTAGAGTTTTACAAGAGAATAATATTTCAGTCCTTCTACTTGAAAAATTCACGTTTCATTCAATGTTTTACTTGTCATTTCTTTGTAATTAACTGAGAATTTTTTTTTTGTTGTTGTTTAAAAGCATGAGGCTCTGTTCATTCTTATGATATATGCATGTTCCGATATTCAATTTTGTGAAAATGATCAAAAATGCTGGCAGTGGCTAGCAAAAAAAAAAGAAAAAAGCTGGCGGGGATAGAGTTAATTAAATAAACACACAAATTCATGTGTACATAGACAATTAATTCGAGAACATTTAGATCAGAAATGAACGTTGCATTAATAAATATAATAGCATATTAATCATATAAATTAACCATTTAAATTCATAATGATTGTTTTTATTAGTGTAATCTTATGATAATTACAGTTTGGTTTAATAAAAAAGCTGCATTAATAATATAACATGTGTTAATCACTTAAATTAACAATTTAAATTCATCATGATTATGTTTTGATTATTGAAATCTTCAATGATTATTGAGATTCGTTTTTTTAAAAGCTGAAATTACATCTAAAAAAATCTGAACTTAAAACATTTAAAATCAATTAATTTCTGTATACTGGAAACAAATCTTTATTAGTGGTATAAAAAAAACAGAATTTAACATGAAACTTTAGCAAAAAGCACCACAAAACATACCATACACACACACACACATATATATATATATATAAATATATAAAATTATATATAAAAAGTTAAAATTAAATTACACATGTATGCGAAATTATTACTACATTATACATACCTTCATTGAAAACGCCTGTATTAACATTATTAACTTACAAAACAACTGTGAAAAATTATTTCCAAATTCAAATAAGTATGTTTCTCATTGAATTATTGTTGACAACACTAGGACTCTAGCTAAACAATCTGGGTTCTCTAAGCCAATGTGAAGTCCAGTGCAAAGGCCACAGGTAAAAACAGTGAGAATGTATACGCCTGTGACATTCGTGCAGCACTGGGCAACTACACTCAAACAGAGAACAGCATGTCCCTTATAAAAAAAATCTGGGGAAAAAAAAAAACCTATGAAACAGCAGTGAGAGCTCTCACATCAATCTAGAAAACATATGGATTCCTGAAGCTACTATACGCAGCTGCTCTGCATATTGCTTTGGAATCTACAACACTGGTAAGAAATATAAAGTGCTGTGATTTCTAGAAAGCATCATGACAGGGTGATCAAAGTCTGAAAAAATAACTTCCAACATGAAAAGGGCCTGTTATTTAAAACCTTCAAACAGATGCATGGTCAGGAATTCTTGAAATGACCAGGATCTTTTAAAAACAGATATGAACCCTTTGAACTGATACATAAATGGAGATGATCAGTGTTTGAGGTGATATTCGCAATTGTGTACTTCAATACTGTTAAGACTCGTGGTTTGCATACATAAAGTTAATCATAAGTAACTTATGATACAACAGCTTATTACTATCAAGTTAGAAATACACATTTTATGCTTAACACCCAATATAGCCTACATTTGAAACCATTTAGTTCAGAAAATAATTCTGCATAAATAAATGTAGAAGCATAAATTAATCAGTAACACTTTAAAATAAGGTCTCATTTATAACATTAGTGTATTAACAATGAGCAATGCATTTGTTACAGCATCTCAGTAACATTAATAAAAATACAGCTGATCATTGTTTGTTCATATCATGTGAACATTTTTTTTTTAATATTTACTAATGACACCTTATTGTAAAGTGTTACCAATTAATCATTGACATTGATCATTTTAAATAATTTAAATTCATACTTATTTTGTTTTTATTATTTATTATCTAACTACATATTTTAAAAAGCTGAAATTATACTAAAATAGGCCTAATATATCTTTTAATATATATATATATATATATATATATATAAATTTGTTACTGATATATATATATATATATATATATATATATATATATATATATATATATATAAACATATATATAAACTTAAAGCGGATTTAAATTTAATTCATTTCTGTATTCTAGAAACACTTACATTTTTAGTGGTAACAAATTTAATTGACTGATATAATCATTTTCTGTCTTCTGAATTCTATCAATAACAATTTTAGCAATAAGCTCCACAAAACAGGCTTGTAACCTACAAAGAAATGTTAGATGACATAACCCCCAGATTAGTGGTCAACCAATATGGGTTTTTCAACGGTTCACTTTAAATTATTCCATATGATCCTTAGATCTTGAATAAATCATTGACCGCTAAGTAGTGCATCTATGACAACATTTTAGTAGACCTGACTGTTAATATTAAAAGCACCAATATAGCAGATGCATTTATCCAAAGCACTTATACAGTGAATGTGTGGAAACATCAGTGATCTTTAACCACTACTAGACACAATAATCGGAACGTGCAGTGAATTGTAGATCAAACTCACCGCGTTATCATGTTGCTGGCAGAACTCCACCCTCTCCTGGAACACATTCAGCATGGAGAAGCTGTTATGGAAGGACTGGGAGATGTTGACGGGGGTGTTGGAGTTGATGGTGCGGTTAGCCAGGTGTAAGCTCTCCATCAGCCCCTCGATGAAGTGGTCTTTGGTGAGTCGGACCCTCTGGTGGGCCCGTACGCAGTTATCGCACAGGTACTCCTGGCAGTCCAGGCAGTGAGAGGTAGCGGGGTTCCCCTCATCACAAGAGCTGCACTGGGGGTCCGAGAGGTGCTGGGGTCTCAGAAGACCACCGTGATGGACCACCGATGAAGACCGCCCGTTCTTGCCCTGTTCCTCAGCAGAGACCACCACATCCAGAAGGTTGCTGAACAGAAAGTTGGAGGAGGGCAGCGCGTCCACGCCTGATTCCGACAAAGACACTTTTTGGTCGCATGTGGGGCATCTGAGCTTCAGAGGGTCACCGGGGCTCCGGTGGCCCTCCAGGCATTGCCTGCAGAAGGCGTGCAGACAGGGCAGAACGTGCAGTCTCCTGGTGGATGAGGTAGATGAGTTGGAGGTCTGTGAGGAAGAGGAGGAGGTAGATGAATTGGAGGAGATCGGAGCAGAGCAGCCGCACAGCTCCTTGCACAGCGGACATGTTTGCAGGTCGGAGTCTGGGAAAGACGCCATTTGTGCAGAGGACCACAGAATAACTTCACACATAAAGACGCGTTAAGACACACGAAGGCAGCCGAAATGGTTCCCTGATCAATTCAAAGCAAGTAATGTAGTCATAGAGTCATAGTGTACATGCTGCACTGTGAGCTAACGTTACATTCAACGACACTTGATATATGCATTGCCGTTTGAAACATTTAGATAGAATTGGGCGCTCTGGTTTTGTTGCCGCTCGCAGAACAAACTCTATACGCAACTTCTCGCGTGCACTTTAACCATTTGGAAAGCAAGTGTCATTCTGAGGCCTTATAATCCCTCGTTGTGGGGCATTAACATAGTTGCGAAACATGAAATCCGCTGCGAGGTCCCTGCTCCGATCCTCCCCCACCGCCGCATGACGAGGGGCCAAACGCGCTCGATACACTGTCAGTTTTTCTCTTTCCAAACGCAAATATGTCCGTTTTCCATGAACGCGCTTTAGTCTACCATCTGCGTGTCATTATTCTCGATTCGCGCTTGCGCGAGCCGCAATTGAATAATTCAAAGTATGTCCCATGTGGCTCGTTAGCACAGAGCACCCCTCAAAATCCTGTGACTGTGATGAGGCTGAAGGTGAAAAAGCCCCTTTAACTTCTCCGAGTCCGCTAACAGTAACAGTTCGGCGAGGGGAATAAAGTAACCATTCAACCTTTGGTTTCCACTCGTTCCCGAGGGTTCAAACGCAAATGCCCATGTTCGTCTCGCGTTTGCAGCGCAAAACAAACGCTCTCTCCCCGCGTGCCGCTTCAATCCGCATTCATTTTCTTTGGGAATGACGCTCGCGCGTACGAGAATTCTACAGCGCGTGACCATCAAGAGAACGCGTCCATACTAAAAAAGCCCAGCGCGCACTTCCGCCTGAGAACACTTTAGAGGGGCGGGGTTTGTGTTGCGAGGGGGCGGGGTTAGGCATGGCATTGACTAATAAAATAGTAGCCTATATTCAGTGACCAAAAAATTGTTTTTTTTTTTAATGGGCAGCAGAATACCTGGTGCTCAAAGAGACTAATTATAAGATCTTATTTAGCATTTATCCTGTAGTGTTGTTTTGTTTGTTGTTGTTTTTATAGAAGAGATTTCGTTTTTTTACATGGATCCTTATGTCTTTTGCTCGAGTTTTATGTATCTGCGCATGCGGAAAAACGCAGACCCTCTTTCAGTTAATTTATTTGTATTACGTATTTTTAAGAAACAACAGAAAGACCAAAGCTTATGTTTCTCAGTGTCGAAATATCTATTGTATTATTGCAGCCGTGTTTTTCATCCCATATTATGTTCCAGCATGTGTCTTGCTTCTTGCCTTTAAAAATGTGAATAGGTTCCTTTGCTAAATGTAACTGTTTGACTGACGGTAATTTAGTTGGCAAGACAACATTTTCATTTTCATTTAGGTAAATTTGATATAGGCTTCTATAATAAACTGATATAAAAATCAAAACAATCTTTACTATTAAAAAGGCAACTACTAAAAATGACAAAGTAAACACAACAACATTACTAAAGATAGTAAATAAAGGCTATGTGAATGTTTATTTCATTTTAATATTTTCCATATTTCGATTGTTTTTAATAATATTACTGGCATATGTTTATTTTATTTTAATATTAACCTATCTTCTTTTTTGTTTTGTTTAAATAAAACAATGAATCATGATTTTTCTGCTGCATTTTGAAGGGAAAATCAATGATATCGAGCATAATATTTAAAGTTTTATTTTATTTCCCATATTTCAATTGTTTTTTAGCAACATCACTGGCATATACAGTATGTTTATTATTATTATTATATTATCTTCTCTTTTTGTTTAAATAAAACAATGATTCGTGATTTTTCAGCTGATTATGACGATGACATGGAGCGTAATGTTATTTAAAAGGAACACAGTTCTGTTTCGGTGTCGATGAAGGGCCGATTGAGCATTATTGATGTGGCCGTGGGGTTACATGGGACAAAAAAAAGGTTGGTAAACACGTTCTAGGACATGAAGATCCCTTTGTTCTCTCATTATTTCTCATTAAATCTCCCAGCCGCCATCTCTCAACAGTACATGCTAATTTCCCACCCACACCTGAACCTATGAAATCAATCTCAACCTTTTTGTAATCGATGCTATACGCCTCCTGAGGGCCCCTCCTGTAATAGATAGCTACCACATGTAGGACTGGCTTTTGTGCGCATTTATGGGCACTTAGGACGGGGTGCTGGGGTGGCTCTTGTGACAAGGGAGGAAGCTTCTCGGTGGGGCTTAGGCTCCAGATGCAGGCTACCCAATAAAGCAGTGGGATGCCAGGCTGAAAGACAGGGCTTTGGGAGGGACCTTTTGACCCCATTATTATGGCTGGGATTAGGGGTAGTGGAGGCTGCCCACACTCAGCTGCAGCGCTCTGGCCATCCCAAGGACATTCCATTGATCTACATGAGGAAAACGGGGGGTTGGGTGAGGGCAGAGGCTCAGCAAAACCAAGCAAAGCAAGGAAAGGGTCATGTCACATGGTGGAAATGACCAGAGGCAATGTGGCCCGAGGTTATGTGTACGTGCGAGGGTGGATCTGTGTAATGAAGCGCTGATTCCCTCTCAAGACCAGGAAATAGCTAGTCCTATTAACCCTTTGATACTCATTTCTAAATTATTAACATTATTAAAACTTTGCTGTTGTACACAATCTACTTCATGCCTTCTTTTTCTGAATTATAGTCACTGTTAAAAAAAAAATATATATATACGATCAATAAGTCATGGCAACCCGTGTTTTTACATTACTTTAACTCATCAAAATAATTAAAGCAATTTATAATTTAAATTAAGTTGAAATGACTTGTACAACCAAGTTGATTATACATAAAAATTGAAGGCAGGAACTAAACTTAAGTTTTTAGGTGAATTTTTTTTACAGTGTATACTTTTTAGCAAGTAAAAGGCCTTTTAGTCTAATTCTAAAGACCTACAGAGCTCTGATCATTAAAGCATTTAAAGGTAATCTTGCTAAGACATATTATTGGGAGATAAAGAGTGACAAATTATATTTATATTAGGGCTGTCAAATGATTAATCGTGATTAATCACATCCAAAATAAAAGTTTTTTTTACATAATATATGTGGGTGCACTGTGTATAATTATTTTATATATATAAATACACACACATGCTTGTATATATTTAAGAAATATTTTCATGTATATACTGTATATAGATTTATATATAATTTATATAATATATAAAGATAAATATTTTATATATAAATAATATTTTTTTCTTAAATATACATGCATGTGTGTGTATTTATATATATACAAAATAATTATAGACAGTGCACCCACATATATTATGTAAAAAAAACTTTTATTTTGGATGTGATTAATCGTGATTAATCATTTGACAGCCCTAATTTATATGCATTTTGTGTAGTAGTCTGCTATGTTATAAAGAGCCCACTGATTTACATTACATGCTATCAGAATTTCTTACTCCATACTTTTTTTGCTCATATAAATATCAGAAATTGCATCAAATTGCATATTTTTTTCCCATTTGGGAGGTTTTTTGTTCCATATTCTCCTACATTGGCCATAAAAGCCTGATGTATCAAATATGATAATATGAATGTTGAATGTAGCTCATGATATATGTACATAGATCTTGGATCAAGGATCATAAACTTGTTTTCTTGACCTTTACACAGTTATTGAACCGAATTTAATGAACACTCTTAACTTGCTACGGCTGCTTCACAGCAGAATTTGAAATGCTTTGAAACATAATAAAGCGCTATAAAAATGAAAGATGACTGAACTTGCCTTACAGGTTCAAACTGTTTCATTTGAAAGAATGTGATTTTTCTGACAATTAATTCATGTAGGCTATCAACATGTTATGGATTGTTTCATCTTGGGGTCAGAAGTGAATGTTCCTTTGTGACTGTATTGTGACGTATAGCCCAGTGTATCTGTATGTGATTGTCCATTTTTGATTGGCTTAATATGTGCTTACACCTCAACAATGCAATTGATAGATTCGTTATCAGCAGGGGTTTCCTGCAGGCCCGTCTTAATCACGGGATTACATTTATATCCACTTACCTAACAAAGAGTCCTGTCCTGTCGTACCGTATCGGATCACTGTTGTCCTGACTAATTGATAATTAGTCTCTTGTTTAGCGTGTGAAAGTAGCTTTCACTATTGCTTTGAAATACACAGCTGCATGAAAATACATGGAATGTTGGCAGAAAGATATATTATTGCGTATATTTCATTCACACGACTCATCTGCCATATTTATGACCTTTGGGGCAAAGTATCGGTACTGAATACAAAAACACATGAAGTCTTCAATAAAGACCCTACTTAAATTGGTTAAAATTTTGAAATTAAGATGTTTTTGAAAGAAATATTTTATGCTCACCAAGGCTGCATTTATTTGATCAAAAGTAATATTGAGAAATATTATTACAATTTTAAAGAACTTTTATTTTTTTAAATATAATTTACTCCTGTGATGAAAGAGCTACATTCCCAGCATCATTACTCCAGTGTCACATGATCCTTCAGAAATCCTTCTAATATGCTGATTTGTTATCAATTACATTTACATTTACATTTATTCATTTAGCTGACGCTTTTATCCAAAGCGACTTACAATTGCTATATATGTCAGAGGTCGCACGCCTCTGGAGCAACTAGGGGTAAGTGTCTTGCTCAGGGACACATTGGTGTCTCACAGTGGATTCGAACCCGGGTCTCTCACACGAAAGACACGTGTCTTATCCACTGCGCCATCACCACCCCCGGTGATCAAGTATTTGATCAAGTATATCATTGGTGATCAAGTATTTATAATGGTTATTATTGAAAGCAGTTTTGCTGCATAATGTTAATGTGGAAACCGTGAAACATCTTTTTTTCTGGATTCTTTGATGAATAGAAAGTTCAAACGAACAGGCTTTATTTCCTTTATTATAAATGTCTTTACTGTTTCTTTTGATCAATTGAATGCATTCTTGCTGAATAAAAGTATGAATTATATATATATTTATATATAAAACATATGACCCTAAACTTTTGAATGGTAGTGTTTTAAAAAAAAAATCCACAAAAATATTAAACAGCAAAAGCAGTTTCAAAATGAAAAATGTTTCATCATATTAGAATGATTTCTGAAGGATCATGTGACACTGGAGATATAATGCTGAAAATTCAGCTTTGCCATCACAGAAATAAAATACAGTTTCAAATATATTAAAAATAGAAAACTACATTTATTACTAAGTTGTTTTAAATTGTAATAATAATTCACAATATTACAGTTCTCATCATATCTATCTATCTATCTATCTATCTATCTATCTATCTATCTATCTATCTATCTATCTATCTATCTATCTATCTATCTATCTATCTATCTATCTATCTATCTATCTATCTATCTATCTATCTATCTATTTATCTACAATATGTAATTGGTTGTTTGTTTGCAGCCCCAACAACAACGGTTGACTAGTAGATATTCAAGTATTTTCAAATAGTTTCATTCTTAATGATAATTACAGACTTTGGGCAGTTTTTGATGAATAATGACTAAAATTAGAAGAAACCAGAAAATCCTCCCTGCCCACAGGGAAGCAAATACCTCTGGCTGGACTGTGATCTGCTTGCGGATAACCTCTGTCTCAATCCTCCATGTGTAAATCTGTCTGAAAGCAGACAGGACAGCGACGCAGACCATGAACATGTGATGATTCACATTCAGTCATGCCGGGATGAGATCATTCTCTAAAATGTGGGGGTGCCTGCAAGTTCAGCTTTGAGATGCTTTAAATAACATCTACACCAAACATTTAAAGAATAATGGGCATTTATTACTAT